CCCAGCTCAAAACTCCATAACTACAAATTTAGCAACAGCCATATCAAATGCAAATCGGTTAAACACGTACCTAAAAATCAAGAAAGAACCCAACATTAACTAGACAAAATTTTCATCACGGTGTGCTGTTTTTTTCCAAGACAAAAAACATTCAAGATCTTTCATGAATAAAGAAAAAGAGTTTCCCAACAAAAGCAGCTACCTTGATATCAAGAATCGGCTTGTTCCCCGTGCTCTTGCTTCTCGTTCTTGTTGATTGTGAGCTTCAGATGCAGAAGGAGAAGAAATTCAAAAACAATAAAAAATAAAAAAAAAAAAAATCCAAGCTTTTCTGTTATGGGATTTGCAATGGGATGCCTAGAATTTGAAAATAAAGAATGGATGAAATAATCTGGGTCAAGAAATTCGAGGTCTTGTGCTATAAAATCTGAATTGGGAAAGAGAAAACATAAATGCATAAATGAGCTCTGATGGCAGTGTGTTGCTGTGTGAAAGAGAGATGCGATTGCGAGCTTTTTGTGCGCCCTTTGTCTGAATGATTTCGCTGATTCAAATTTTTTAGGGTGGAATCTTTCTACTTATTTCCCCCGCTATCCCTCTGTATATATTTCAGTAAGACGATTTTACCCTTTGAGTCAAACTGATATGTGGGTCGGCCCACCCATCTTTGGAACTCAACCCCGGTTGTGAAATTGGGTTGGGTTCGATTTGGTTTGATAAAAAGTATACTATTTTGGTTCGACTCGATTCTTTTGATAAAAATGACTACCCTATATGAGTTTTACTTAGTTGGCATTGAAAATGAATTAAACAACTTGTATCTATAGTAGTAGTTACTGAGTGACGGTGCGCAAACCCGTTTTCTATCAATAAAAAAAAAACACTTGGAAATATCAAGGATCTCTTTTGAGTATAAATTTTGGAAAAGAATATTTTGCTTCTATGTTTTCTCTTTTGACCTCTTATATGTGACTTATGAGGATTGGGAGAATTACACAACATGATATGATAGGGAATGGCAGGGTTATCCTTGGGACACATTTGTTTGACATGATATGGCAGGATAACTGTTTGTCCTATTTTTGTTACGTCTTTTTAGTTATTATTTTATTATTCTTTTACCCTCATTTTGAGTCATTTTATAAATTTTATGGTAGTTTTATAATTTATTGTGTGATTTGTAATAGTCAAATAATGTTTATGTTTCTGTATATTTTTTCCGGTATTTTTCGCTTTATTTTCAATAAAGATACATAGATCGAAAACTTCAGAAGAATAGGTTTTGGAAATTTCTTGGGTATGATCATATCATTGGAAATAGGGGTTCGTTAGCAACGCACAGGAAAAAACAGAACTTAATTCCGAGTCCAAACGAGCCCGAACGAGCGAAAACCGTAACAACATGCAAAGTTGCCGACACAGTAGCGGCGCTACTAGGCTGATTTCTGCATGTGTCTTTTCTTTCATAATGCATGATGATGGAGTGTTATTTCGGTGATGATTAAGCCTTACCTATAGCTGATTTCTAGGTATATTTTACTTCAAACTCTCAGCTATAAATAGAGGTGATCCATGCATGTAAAGATCATCAAGTTCATAAGTGAATAATAGTTAGAAATCTTGTAAAACTTCTCTTCTTTTCTCTTGAAAGTTCTTCATCATTTATGAAAATTTCTTCTCATATATGACTTACATGATCTTGTAAGTGATATTTCTATATCTTGTTGAAGTTCTAGTGATATATTGACATCAAGTTTTCAATAATAATCGTAAGTTATCGTTACTTTATTGTAAGTACGATGATAGATTGTGTTATTATTGTTGTTTGTGTAGATAAAATCATGACGAACTAAACCTATTCCGTTAGGGATAGGGAAATGATTGTTTCGGTTCGATGATGATGTTATGTTATTTATTGTTCATATCGTTTCGAGTTATACTTATTTTTACGATTTGGTTGATTAAGCACCTTCTAAATCTAATTAATTAATTTTAAAACCGAGGGGAGAATTTAATTGATCTCGGCTCGAAACGAGTAAGCTTGTTCGTAACTGTATTGCTTATTTGTTATTTGATACGAAAATATATTAATTTATGTTTATATTCTTGTTACGAAAAGTTATTGAATATAAACCTCTAAATTACTGTGTTTATCGAATCACTTAACCGAGCAATAAATAATTTGGACTTATCATTAGAATTGAAAACAATTATTTTCCAATTCCCTAACAGTTTTATCATCTTTATATTCTTATTGTCGTTAAGATTTTTATAATTATTGAATTTATTTACTACTTTAATTATAATTTTATGTTTATTAATTAAATTAATAAAATTAGTAGATAGTAAAATTCCACACTAAAATTGATTAGAATGTTTAGGACATCATTTTATAATTTTTCGTAATCGAATAAACGCACAATTTAATCCGGCTAAACTTTCCTTGAGATACGACCCGGAGAACGAATCTTTAATTCGATGCTCGGGAAATAAAAAAAATAAAATAAAATTTGCTACAACAATAACCCCATTAATTTCGGGGTAATCCTATGTTTCTATTTTGGACTGCAACCCGCAAAATAAGTCAAGGTTCGATATTAAAATGTATCAAGATTTTGTAACCGCTCGGACGGAGAAGATAATGTCAACCAGCGACCTCAACTTACCAACCTCGTTGAGCCAAATTCCACACTCGCATACATACACCGCCTTCTCTTGTGATTCCGACGAGCCGGTAGCCGTAGGAAATTGTGTGAAGTGGCAAATTATTTTTCGTTAACAAGGGAGAAAAAGAAACTGATATTGAATAATAAACGAGCCCTTCATGTTTACACCATTCTCTACTGTGAGTAGCTTGTAAAGCCATCTGCATAGTCATGCACAAACAAGGCAATATCCACACAGCATGAAATAAGGTAGCCTCTATCATCCTTATGGAAAAAAGACCAAAACTTGTATTAATGTATGGATAATTAATCTCATCCAAAAATACATAGAAAAAGGAAAAATACCACATTCAAATACAGAGACATCGAGCTCGAACAGAAACCCCCATTGGTTTTCTTCTCTCTCGAGTGATAGCTTCCTTAATTGTCGGCAGCTTTTGATGAACCTTCTTCCAAATATGATTTACTGCCCCACCCGGACTAGTGGGTCCAATACCTCCCGGGTGACCATTATCATAGTCAAAAACCGGCTGAACCTTAGCCATATTTTCCCGAAAGTTATCCTTCTGCTGGCTCGAATAGCTTCTGAGATGGCCCACGAGCCAACTGGGCCTCAAAGCATTACTAACCGACACGAAAACGGAAAATTCCGAATAATCCAATATTCCTTCAAAGGGAAGCTCGATATTGTCGCTAATGATGATTGGTATGCACAGACTTTGGATTGCGTCAAAAAGTCTACACGAAGTGGGTGTATCGCCAGCTGGATGTAAACAGAACTCGGATGTTCTCATTCCCTTTATCGACTGTTCTTTACCAGTGGCATTTGGAAAGCCTTCTTCTATAACAACTCCAGGCTCGTTAATTAGCAAGTCCCATAATTTTTCTCGAACTAGTCCACCCTAACAGTTAAAAGGAGAATAAGAATTAGGCTAAATTTACATTTTTAGTCCTGCAGGTTTAACACCATAGATTTTTAGTCCCAAGATTCTTAACATTTTTGTCTTTTGGTCCTGTGATTTAATATTTTGCTGCAATTTCAGTCACTTGAAATTGCAACAAATTTCCAAATTTATAGATTTTTTATTAACAATTTAAGTCTTACAATTGAAAATTTTGCTGCAATTTCAGTACTGTTGTTTAAAATTTTGTTGCAGTTTCAGTTCTTTGAGGACTGAAATTGCATCAAAATATCAAATCATAGGACCAAAAGCAAAAAGTTAGAACTTTGGGACGAAACTGCTATGGTGTTAAACCAACAGGAGTAAAAATGCATTTTTTCCTAAGTATTAATAATGTTAGCTGCAGGTCCAGGATATACACTTGAGGTTTTAATCGGATAATGGAAAACTAAACGTTTCAGTTATCAAAATAGTAGAAAACTAACCCGGTGCCTATGCTTGGCTCCTTTGAAGTACAAAAGGGTATCTCGTTTCGGGTTTTTTGATATGTCTAGTCTCGGGAGTAAATGAGTGTATGGGACTATGACATCTTTCAACAGAGAAACTTGAGTGTGATGTATCGTCAGGTCATACGAGCTGTCGTTGGATGTTTTAGAGTCGAGCCTGTACCAGCCGCCAAAATCGACCACAAGGAGAATTGCGGGGGCAATCTCGTCCTTTACATGCCACATCGCAACAGGGTCTGCCAAAGAATGCTTCAAGTTTTAACATAACCTGACAAAATCGAGAGACTTGAAAAAATAAGCAAATTACACATGCATACACTAACACTATCTGAAGCTTTCAATGAAAAGTAACATTTGCAAAATATTCTACGGTGAGTATCCATTCAGAGAGTTGTATTTGTATATCACCTAACTGCAAGTAGATATAATGTTGCCAAACAGTACGAGAAGCAATTTACTTTTTCATCAGCACGACCAAAAGATACCAAATTCGCAAGACATGAATCTCACCCCAAAAGATTTTGGAACCTAATCGAACATTCAAACCAGAAAGTACAAAAATGAAAAATCACCCTTTATTTGCTTCCATTTATAACACTGAATCGGAGCACATACCGAATAGATAACAAATGTCATAATATGCACTTACATTCACATCCAATAAAGCCTATAATTCAGAAAACCATCCTTCACCTGATAAGAATAGATAAACAGACACGATAGTCTCGCTATCGGCCCAAAGCCCCAAACAACACCACAAAACAATCCAACAGCACACTGATAATAACCCGAAAAGTTACAAAAACCAAACTCAAGTTTCAGCCTACTTACAGAACCCCATCTATCTTTCAAAATTACAAAACACCCTCTAATAGTTTCATCTCCAAACACATTTCCTCCTGAGTGAAGTTAGTAAAGTAGAAACTGGCAAACATAGAACAGGTGTTTCTGCAAATAAGCTGAATTTCAGGGGCAATTCATGTAAACAATCCTCAACAACTACCTGTGAGAACAAAAACATGATCTCGGCCACCGGACTTCTTCCAAGCCGCCGTCTTCTTAACAAGATCAACTACCGTTCTCTGCCTCACATAATCCTCATTCCCCTCGACCTTCTTCCTAAACACGCTTTTATCCACGACCAGCTGCAGCTCAGCACTCAGAGTCGCGAAAAACGGCACGAAAATCACATCAGCTTCCTCAGGATCAAAAACCCTTCGGGCAAAAGAGTCTCTTTTCAGCTCCTCAGGTGCCAACAGGTCCCCCAAGATCCAGTACTCGGCGCTGTACTGTTTGATTATGGGGTTCTCGGGGTACGGAAGGGATTCCCGAGGAAGTATGGGCAAAAGGGTCTTTCTGATCTCGTTGTCCGCCTCGCTTCCGATCCTGTTGTCGGAGGTTAGGGCCCAGTATTTTTCGAGGAGGCCGTGGTTGAGGGATCTGGGGATGGGCGAGATGTGGACCTTGATGGAATTTGCGGCGGTGTCGGGGGCATTTCTGGTATTCGACGGGGAGGTGGTGGTGGTGTGGTGGAGGTAGAAGAAGGTTAGAGAGAGGAGGGAGAGGAGGGAGAGGGTGAAGAAGAGGGGCGGGGTTTTGGGTGCTGCCATTGGAGTGTGAATTTGGAAGAGTATTTTGAAAGTTTGGAACTTGGACGTAGACAGTCGACTGATCTTTGCGTGTAAAAGAGAGGAAATGAACTTGAATTTGTGATGGTGATGGACATTGAATATAGTGAGATTATTAAACCAAACAAGTAGCTCGTTAACTAGTTTCGACTCGTTAAAGCATGAGCCGAGCTTGACTCGATCGACCTTGTTTAATTATCAACGAGCTGAGTCATGAGTCGAAGACTTTTTCAGCTCACTAAGGATCTGAGCTGAGCTCGAGTCATTTTGAATGATCCAAACTCGACCTTGTTTAGTTATAGACCAGAGCTAAGTTGGTTCTGCTCATTACAGCTCGAAAATAAAAATTTATAAAACGTTTTTTTAGACTGATAAACAAATCGAGCTCGAATTCGTTCATCAGTTCGTTTAGTTTAAAGACTCAATCTCGATCTTGAACTTTAGCAATATGATTAGTCTCGTTAAAGCTCAAGTTGGCTGGTTAATGTTGATAAATAAACCAGATAAATAAACCAAGCTCAGGCTCCTTAATCAAACTCGACTCAACTTGTTTAGCATTAAAAGGGATGATTCATGACTTTTAAATAGACTATATACCCCCATTTATTTTTCTTCAGAACCCAAGATTTCTCTCTTAGATTTTCTTGGCAACACTACAAATACATGAGAATATATACATCCAGTCAACAGTTTATAACTAGAGTTGCCAAAAAAAAAAGGGCAGTAACATGGACAAATTCAAGAGACCATTGGTAAAATGCAGGATGCAATCTGCATCAAAGCTCAAAACACATTAACAACCCCAAAAGTTACAAACTTTAAGCTCACAAAAGCAAAACCCAAAAAGCAAACCTATAAACAGATTGGTTCAAATTTCTTAAACTTTCTTGCACATCCTTACAATAAAAGCACCCACCACAATTGAGCATCTGTCACAGACAAAAAGCGTGTAAAAGTACAAAAGAGTCGCATCATGACTAACGTTCCAAAAGTGGCTCGTCAAAATTCCAATCCCTAACAATGTCCCTTCTGACAGCATGGCTCCGGTCGAGGCGTGAGGCCACATTACCAGGAATATTGGTGGGCTGTGGCATCACTTTAGATGATGTTGTGCTACGATTAGTCCTGTGGTGTGGGAGTGAAGTCTTTCGGGTCAAGCAACTCGAGACTGCCGAGCATCTGCCCTCGTTTTCGGAGCTCGAGACTGAGTAGCTTCTGAACGAGTGAGATGGGCTTTCAATGCCACGGCACGCGAGGCATGCCAAGCTCATGTTGTTGTCTCCTGGGCACTATGAAAAATCAGTCCTTTATGGTATTTAAGAAAAGAAAGACAAAAGGAAACATAAAGGGATGAAAGTGGGAAATTGAAGAAGAAAATATAGAAAACCTCTTTAAAGGTGTAAACTTGCAAAAAACGATAGTATTGACAGTATAAATGATATTTTTTTTAAGTGAATTTCAAGCTTATAGCTGATAGCTTATCATTTATGGCTGAAAAATTAGCTTATATTTGATAAAAGTGTTCGGTAAAATTAGACGATAAGCTAACTGAAATAATAATTTCAATGGGCTTATTTGAAAAATACCAAATGAAGTTTATGAGATAAGATGTCCTATCAACCAAATTTATTTGAATACACGAAGCTTATAAGCTAATCAAATAAGCTATAAGTTAGCTTATATGCTTACCAAACCAAACACAACCGTAGTGTCAATAAATAAGATGTGTAGCCACGTACATGATTGTAAAATCAAACCCCAATAAGAACAGAATTTCCAGAGTAATAATATAGCAGGTTCGGATAGATTAATATCACACACAATTAGAGGGGCAAACTAAGATCCAAGTACACTAAACATTTCTTCTTTTCCTTTTTCTTAGTTTTTTATTTTTTTTGGGATAGAGTTGAGAAACACTTTTTCCTTCAAGCCCCTATTCTCTAGAAACAGAACAATACAAATATTTCACCAACAAAACAAGGAATACAACAATGTCATTATGGATATAAACAGCCGAGACCTTAATGTCTATGTAAATTGTTCCATCAGACAAAATCGAATCAACTACTCGTAAATTCTAGAAAAATAATAGATAGTTTTAGCAAGGGAAACTAGAATATTGGTTTCCAAGATGAATACATTAAACAGAATCTAATAGATTTATCAAAACACTACCACAGTTTTAATAAAATGCTTTATACAATTTTGTTTTAGTGAGACTAAGCCCCAACACCAACCACAAGAAGCTTTTCAACATAATTTATCTGTTAACATTCAATAAACTAACATCACTTTTGAACCATTGATGACTTAAAGCCCATCAGAATGAGCTGAACACATCACTTGCAAATCAGTAACAAAAATCATTGCAATTATGCACACTCCCAGCTAAAAATTTAATCTTTCTTCCATCAAATTAATGACAAAAATCATTGAAAATATTCACTCCCAGCTAAAAATTAACTCGTTCTTTCACCTACACTTGCAGAAAGATAAAACACAAACTTCATTAAATGAATCTCCACACAAACACACAAAAAATCAAGAATCTTGCAAAAAAAAAA